AGGTTCACAAGGCTACCAGGTCTGTGCTTGGCAAGTGAAATCAAATACATCTCTGTATGCAGTTGTCCAAATTCATTCTCCCCTTATCCCTTCTCATCTTTCTCATCTAATAAAGAAGTCTCTGCTGACTGTATTAGACATGAAATCTTATTTCTCTGAACCCACAAATGAATCTGAGGAGAATTAAGGGCAAGACTTCACCCCAGTCCTACCCTATAGAGACAACTATATGAAGCAAACTGACCTCTCTATTTACCTTAGATTTGTTTTCTATACAAGAAGTATCTTAAAAGTTGTTGTGAGAATTAAATGGAAAGAATGTACACTTCATAGAACTATATCTAGCACACGAGGCACACTGAATATGCATTAATAATTATCATTAGTTTTATCCTCAGTGCATTTTCAGGGTCATGTTCGTGGTACTGTCTTATCACCCTACTAGACAAGAATGGGCCTACCCATATTTACTTATTCTATACAGAAACTATGACACATGGAGGACAGTCTATAAATAATAGTCATCCAGGGTAAGTGACTGCTAATGTCAAAAATGTCACTTCAAAAAACAAGACTATTTAAAAACAAAACAAAATAAAATAAAAGCATTTAAAGAGAACTATACTGAATGGATAAGTTAGGTTATGTAATGAAATCATAGTGCCAGACCTGGAACGTATCTTTATGCGTTACTGGCCAGGAAAGCCCCAAAAGTCTCCAAAACAACACAGTCAACCGCCATTGCCCTGGGGGCCCACCATAGCCACGTGGAAAGACCATATTACTAAAAACATCGCCACACACTTTGGCTGCAAGACATACAGAAATCAAACTCAAACTTAGTCACAAGCTTTCGCCCTGATACTAGGCTTTCATAGTGCCAGAAGATGCTCTGCAGGCTTCTGAGGAGAAAAAAAGCATCAATATTCTTACCTAGAGCTACACTCCACAAGCTCCAACACTGAACGGGCAAACAAGATTCCCTTACTGGTGCACCTGTAACATGACTGTTATAAGGGAACTAACTGCATTATGATTGGAGTTAAAGCCTGTTCCAAAGGAGGTAATTTCATGCTTGGTACTATAATCTTGGTCATAAGCTAGTGGCTGGGGTTGGGAGCCCTAGTGTAGAACCTGCTATTAATATTTTTTGCTAAATGGTAATGCTGCCCAATTGCTTTCTATATATCTGTCTTTATGCCCATAGACCTATGCTACCCTCTATTTTGTCAAAGGAGCTTTTTTTTTTTAATTCCCCAGTGGGTAGCAGTTAATTCTGACATGCATGACTGGTCAAAGAATAAGAGACTGAGTGCTCAGCCCTTACTAGGATATCTTTCCCACTCTACCCTTACCACCACGACTATGCCCCATGCCAAAGGCTCAGGAAGCGTCACAAAGAAAGAGGCAGAAAGAATATGAGAGGAAAATTGATTGTGAGGAGTGCTGTCAAATGTAAAGTTCAAGGATTGACCAGGCCAATGAACTCATGAGCTCATGCCAGCTAGAGTTACCTGCACAAGATCCAGTCAAATACCTGGCACAGATAGGGTTGTATTCTCCAGATCCCACCCCTTTCCAAGGAGCTAAATGTAGGTAACAGCTGCTGAGGCAGGAAGAATCCGTTGCTGAATGTGTAACCAATGGTAGATATCCCATACTTTAGTGGACGGCCCCACATCCATACACAAAGAGGCAATACTGACTAGACTTGGTAGGTTATCAAAACTAAAGAGGACTTAAAGTTGGGAAGGGATCATGTTGTAGAGATAGAAGGAATTAGAGAAGAGGAATGAAGGTGCTTCATTGTATACATATATGAAATTCTCATAAATAAAAATTAATACAAGAAAAAAATTAGAGTAAATAATCTCTTAAGTTAACTAAAATTCACATATTTAATATAACAAACAGAAACAAGCACTGAAGATAAAATTACCAGAGAAAAGATACAAAATATTAAAGATAAAAGGTTCCTTCTGTATCTTCATATGTAAAATATTAAAATACCTTTAGCAAAGCCATTATATATGTACTGTTATAAAATTAACAATCCCTCTAGTTTATCAAAAACATTATCTGAAATGTCAACTTATTCCTTGGCAACTAAAACACTCCTCTGATACGTTGTTTTTTAAATTATGTAAAGTATAGCATGTTTATCTGTGTATACAGGAATGCAAGTGCCCTCAGGGAATGGAGGTTCAGATACCCTGGAGCTGGATCTACAGGAATCTGTGAACCACCCCACATGGGATCTGGGGAGAAAACTTGAGTCCTCTGCAGGAGCAGTCTATGCTCTTTCCTGCTGAGCCATGTAACAAGCCCTACTTTGATATTTTTAAGTTAACATTAACAGAAAAACAACTGTTCATATTCAAATGGTGACCTAGTAAACCCTATCATGAAACTTGATCCAAAGAGGGCTCTCTTCCTAAAATAAATCACATATATGAAAGGTCTAACACCACATTTAATTTGCAACAAAACACTGAATTCTTAGGACTTTGATAAAGAGAATGATTATAAGCATAACCATTTGAAAGTATTTTCAAGTTTTAAAAAAAGCAATTTGTTGCACCGGAAATAAGGGTTAAAAAATGAAATCCCAGCAAAGATCCCACAAGCTGATACTATGGAATGACACTCGTGAGGCTGATTTCATGTGAGAGAAGTGATAAGACTGCCAGCGACTCAGCAAAGTGATGACTAGTCACAGCTCACAAAGTCCTATTGCGATCTGAGATAATAAGAATTGATTTAGCATCAAAAATGTACTTGCTTACTTCCTACCAAGGGTCAATTCTATATTCTCTGATGTGAGGGACAAAACCGTGAAAGTTACAGCAAATACCCACTGACTTCAGTATTCATTACAGTCCCATTGCAGAACTCAGTCCATAGAAGAAGAGTTCAGATCACATGTGAGAAAAAATTGAGCATAGTGCTATTTTTGTAAGCTAAAATAAAATTGTAATATAAAATATTTAACAATTTCATAATTAATATATGGCGAAATGACTTTAAAATAAAACAACCAGGGGCTGGAGAAACAGCTAAATAGGTAAAGTGTTTGCCATGCAAATGTGAGGATCCATGTCTGATGCCTACATAAAACCTGGGGCATAGGCCTGTGACCTCAACATTGAGGTCAGAGAGACAGAAGGATGTCTTAGCTCACTGTCCAGCCAGTCAGTAGAGCTGACCTGCTGAGCACCAGGCTCCATAACAGATCCTGTCTCAAAAAGTAAGGAGAAAAGCGACTGAGGAAGCAGATAGCCAGCACTGATCTCTGACCTCTACACACACAAACATGAATTCATTACTAACCAACAGTTATTGAGGGCTAGGGAGATAGCTCAGTGGTGAAGTTCCTGCCTTGTGAGCACAAATACCACAGTATGATCTCTAGAACACAAATAAAAATTCCAGGCACAATGGTGTGCAATTGTAATCCCAACTTTGAGGAGTCAAAGATGAGCAGATCCCAAACTACTTGGCCAAATGAGAAAGCATGTCTCAAAATACAAGGTAGACAGCTCCTGAGTGAGTAGAACAGTGTGCATGTGCACACCCACACACCCACACACACCCACACACCCACACACCCACGGGGAGGGGGGGGGGGGGTGCGGCAGCAGCATTCTGACGCCCGAGGAAAAGGTAAAGAACAGCTGAGGTGAAGGAAACTGCAGACAGCCTTATAGTGATAATAGGGTCAGGCAGTCACTGCTGCTAAATGCCGCTTAACCTCTGGATTCTGAGACTGAGCTTCTGCACCCTCAATACTGAAAGCCAGAAGTTTGTTCCACAAAAGATCCCCCAGTTGGTTAAATGGCACCCCAGAGGGATGTTAACGGAAACCAAGGAGACCTCTTCTACCTCCTGTGAACTACAGCAGCAGTGTGAAGGGTGAGCCAGACAAAGGAAAGACTAAGGACACGGCTGGTGACATGGTGGACAACATGGAGCAGGACTGCAGGCTCCTGGGAGCTAGCTACAACACAGAGACAGAGGGACAGCTGCAATGGGAACAGAAGGAAGAAAAAGTCCGCCAACAGCTGACCTCTGGGGTGGGGAGGAACTCTTGGGGCTAAGGAACGTATGCCCTCTACTTTCCCAGGAGTCTAATTTAAAGAAACAAAGCCCAAGAAGTGTGAACAAGGCATGAATAAGTAGAAAACAGGGTGGTAGCTTGAGAGGGAGTTAGACCAAGGCGTGGCAACTCAAAGAGCATTTAATATTCAGTCACAGGTTGTTTTAAGAATAATGTTTTAGGGCTGGAGAGATGGCTCAATGATTAAGAGCACTCACTGCTCTTCCAAAGGTCCTGAGTTCAATTCCCAGCACCCACATGGCAGCTCACATCTGTCTGGTACCCTCTTCTGCTGTTCAGATAGATGTATATGCAAACAAAGTAACCATAAAGAAAAAAAATACATAAATAAAGAATCATGTTTTAAAATACACAGTCCAGATAGCTAATGATCAAACATAGTATTTCAATCTTTCTCTACCAGAATCATGTACACGCAATCAGAGATGCTGAGTAACCAGCCATTCCTGTGACTATACCATCTCTTTTGCTCTGTTTTTCAGTAAAGAAAGATGGTGAGGGGTTGAGGCTGGCTCTCACTCACACTGACCTAGAGCTCACTATATGGTACAGACTGGTTTTAATCTCCAGATCCTACTGACTCAGCCTGGGATTCCAGGCATGAGCTATGACATGAGATTGTTTTATATTTTCAAGATTAACAAGAGTAACACATAGGGAAATGAAATCCATGTTTATTGCCTAAAATGAGAAAAATCGTATCAGTCAAAGATATAAAATCCTGCCTCAAACACCCATGTAATTTAAAGACAAGATACACCTTAGAAGAGACTATACTCAAGAGCTTTAGCATTTTCTTGTGATTTTTCTCTCCCCCAGGCCCCCGCCACCCCATGAACTCACAGAGTCCATATTGTCAATAGCAACTCTGAGAGATACTCACCCTGTGTTGATTGAAATGATTTCTATCAGTGGATTCTTCCTGATCTTTGGCAAATCCAGTCTCGCTCCCCCCAACCGCTTCCCATTGTCTTTCTTCTGGCCCAGGAGCCTCACTGAGTGACCTTCAAATTAAGCACAAGATACATATTAGCACACCACACAAATCCACTGTCATTTACCATTTTCAATATATATGTTCAGGATTGTATTTGATTTTATTCTCTTATAGGAGACCAGGGGGAAAAAACATCCTAAGAAGATGTGATCATTTGAACACAAGAAATACAGTTAAAGAAACAAAACAAAAAAAGGAGAAAAGCACTGTGTTCCAAGGACTGACTATACTTTCCAATGCTTGGCTCACAGTATGTGCACATTTACAGATCACATTTGAGAAAGGATCGATGTCCTTAAATAATCTCATAAGGGTGAATACGCTCCCTACACTGACCAGATACTCTAATGCAACAGAAGGGGCTTATATATTAGGCCTGTCTGTTGTTTTCTGACAACAGTTAGACATAAGGATGGTAACTAATGCTTGATGAAACGGCACTCAACACTTACCTGGGCTGGTGTTTTCTAGTCACCCACTCCTATCCTCCACTTTCCCTCCTAGCTTCACTCACACTTTCATGATACACACACACACACACACACACACACACACACACACACACACACACACACAATCATAAAACCTAGGACGAGGACTAGGTATTTTAAACAAAATCTTTCAAGGTTATTTGAACAAAATACAACCAGAATATAATTTCCATTAAAAATGTTTTGAGTATTGAAAACTTTGAAGTAATTTCAGACATGTAGAAAACACAGAGGAAAGAATGGGCACATCCCCTCAGCTTCTAGTCACAATTTTACCATATAGTGTTGCTTCTTTGCACTCGGAACATGCTGTGTTTATGACTGCACCATGTGATATATCCTATAAAACCATCCATCTTGGCTGTGCACAGCAATGATTTCAAATACATTTCTACTGTGACATACTGTTTTATAATTTTATCAGTGACTATACTACAGCCGATAAAAGTTGTCCACTGTGAAAACAAAACTGGATGATTTTAAATAAATATCTTCAGTTTTGTAATCATGACAATAACACAGTTTGGGAATGTTTCCATCAACACTCGAAACTCCTTTGAGTTTTAGCTTAGCCCATCTGTTCCCATGCCCCACGCAGCATATGTCATTAGGTCATGGCCAGAAGACAGGCATCCACCTCATTTCCAACATCTGGTATAGTAACACTTCTAAGAACATCTGCACAGAAACCTTTATACACCCATGCTTTCACTTCTCTTAGAGTCCTAATAAAGAAATTGCTGAATCATTTAGTGAATTTATATTTTACCATTTAAGAAATAATGCTTTGCAAAGAGATGACCAATTTATATTCCCAATTTCATCAGACATGAGATTATTAAATATTTTCTCTCATTCTGTACATTATATTTTAACTTTCATGATGGTGGTTTTCAGAAAAAAAAAATGTTGGCTAGTTTAAAAAACTTCAAATTATCAACTATTACCTTCATGGATCATGTCTTGGTTATTTTTAAGATCTCATTGTCTGTCCTAGGGGTACAAAGGTATTCTTTCTTTTTGCTTCTATTGTATTGTTTGAGCTCTTAAATTTAGGTCAAGAATATACCCTATTTTTTCTGTAGTGAGGGCCTATGTTGACCTTTCCACAATAATACTCAGTGGTCTCTCTGCCTTTTCTTTGCCTTATTCGTCCACAGCTATTCTTGTCACACATATTAACACAAATAGTTATACAAAGCCGAAAGGGGAGTGCTACAATTATTATTTTAAACAAAAATACATATTTATAGCATGGCTTATATTTGCCTACCAACATACTACTTCTGACACTTCCTAATGCTCCTTGGAATTCATCTTATCATGTAGTTCCACTTCTTTTCCTCTTGACCAACTCTCTTTAGTTGTTTTTTTTTTATAACATTTTTGATAACATTGTTATTTTTGCTTCATTTGTAGAAGATACTTGTGCTAGATATAAAACTGCTGATGTCTCTGTATGCTGGCTATCAATTGTCTGTGGTGTTTATACTGTTCACGGTTAGATGTCAACTATTTATCTTACTGTTCCTAAGAACATAATAAGTCACTTCTTCTCTTATGCTTCCCAGATCTCACTTCATTAGGGGTCCAGGTATGGATTTCTACAGTACCCTATATGGGAGCTCTTTGGACTCATAAAGTTATATTCACCTAGGATGATTTCATTTCGTTTTTTGTTTTTTTCTTTTAATTTTTTCTGTGTCATTTTTTTCTATCTATTCTTCTGCAACTCCCACAATACATTTGTTAGTGTATGACAGACATGTATAAAACAGGTCCTTAAAGTTCTTTTACTCAGGGTGCTACAGAGACCCAGAACTGATGCATAAAGAGATAAATAGGATTTATTAAGGAAACTAGATCACTTGACTATAGAGGCTCAACAACTACATGGGAAGTCAATTGCTGCAGAAAATTTGTTTGCGTTGACATTCCATGACTAGCAATAAAGTTAAAGCTTGAATCAGAGGACAAATTCAACACTTAGCTGACCAGAACTAGCCACAGAGATGTTGGAAGCCGCAGGTAGATAGATAAAGAGATGCACAGGAAGTAGTAGGGAGGGATTTAGAGATTTGCAAGCATTTTGATCTGGGAGAAGTGGAGAGTAGGATCACCTGATGATTCCTCTGTCACTCTTTGGATTCATCAGGTTTTTAATCTCAATTTCTGACTCCTGAGTTTTTATTAATAACAGAATAATTCAGATAAACACATTACCTGACATCCAATGTGGGGCATTAATTAGATCACAAGACGGCAACAAGGCTGCCACCTCTCTACCAACACTGCAGCTGCTTTCCCCCTCCCCACAAGTCTCAGGCTTTTCCCAATGCAGTCTCTCTATAGCAGCCTCAGGCCACTGCCCCACCTCTCACCCCAAACACCTCAGGCAGCTGGGCCCAAAACACTGCACAGAGCTGCTGCACAGGACCACAAAAGAGTACTGCTTAGTACTGCAGCTGCCTGTTCTCCCACAGCTCTGCCTAGGCTGTCAGCAGCAGCAGATCTGGAGAGACATCTGGGAATTCTTAAGGGCGGTGGGGGGCAGGTTTTACTTAAAGAAAAAAAGTCTTTCCCACTTTAAGAATGGGGAACAATATTATAATACAAGGAGTTAGCACCGGTATACTTCCATAATGTATGGCTTGAAAATGGGAAATTAAATGAAGGGATAATCAACTTAGCTGGGATTGGCATAATGTCAGTTATAATTATTATCAGTCTGGTAACTCATATTTCATCCTTTAAAAAGTGGGTGAACATTGGTGCCAAATATGAAAAGTTTACTGATAAGATACAAGTCTTAGAAAGACCTACCAATGAAACTAAGAAAAATATTCACACTCAGACAGAGGAATTTAGAGAACTAACCACACCATTGCATGAAGAGGAAACAGCCCAAAATTATTAGAAAACCAACCTTAGTTTATCCAATAACCATATATGACTGGCCACAAGAAGATAGGCACCCTTAACGCTATGCAGAAGTTAACTAGATCCTACAGAAGTTTTATATTTGAAGACATTTAAAGAAGCAGTCATTTCATGTGGCATGCATTCACCTTATGTGAAACCAGAGTTAAATTCATGGGCAACTCAGAACAGAATTATGCCACAAGACTAAAAGTTTTATCGATATCAATATTGGAAGTTGGTCCTCAATTACAGTAAAAAAACATGGTGGAGACAGCAAGCTAAGGTCATAGGTCAATGAAGCAGGGCTAGAAATATTGATATTTTCCAAGACCAGATCCTTGCTAAAGACCAGCATGCTGATTTGCAAAGACAGTTTGGATTTGATGATCATACTTTGTATATATGTTGTATAGCAGCTTTGAAAGCTTGAGACAGGGTTGAAGAAGCATGAAAGGGGACTGAGTCTTTTACTAAAATTATACAAATTCCAAAAGAAGTCTTCACTGATTTTTTAGAAGATTGACTTCAGCTGTAAATAGAATGATGTTAGATCCAGAAGCTAGACAAATATTACTTGAATGTTTGCTTTTTAAAATGCTAATTTGGAATGCAAAAGGGAGATTGATTAGGCCTTATAGGCAAGATCAGCACCCATAGATGAATGAATCTGAAATATAGCTGATATTGGATACTTTGATAGGAGGAGTGGTTTCTAAAAGTTTGAAGAAAAATCAAAAGGTTAGATGTTTTAATTGTGGTAATCAAGGTTATCTGAAAAAAAAAAAATGTAGGCAAGGCATTTCTAGAAACAATGTTGTTTTCTACAGACAATCCAAACAGAAGGCCCCAGAGGCAACAGTTCATCAGACAGCATGGCCATTCAATCTAAACTAACTTAGAAGACTAACAAATACCTTTCATTTGATCAGATATAACCAGCCAAAAGGGGGAACTCCCCAAAGACAGGGTTGGGGCAGGGTTTTGTTTTGCCATTCCAGGAGAATAAAAGCATCCAAGTAAGGAATTTGAAGACCACTGGACAAATGAGACATCAGAAGAAGAAGGACGAATCATCTAGAGTAAATGTCCAAAGAAAAAAACTAAATTGGTTTAATGGTATAGCACACTTCCAATAGGATAAAATTTCCCAAATGTTTGTTTCTGTTCTCTATAAACATATAAGGAAAATGGTCTTTTTATAGTCCCAATTCAACTAAAAATTAAAGCTGGCTTTGGAGTTGGAGTGTGGCTCTCTCCTTCTCTAAACCCAAGTATGCTTGTTAAAGGAAAACTCAAAATCTCTGTCTCATGTCAGAAAAGCCACCAGGAATGGGACAGAAGAAAACCAAAATTAAGGGACTATTCTAGTATCACTAATATCATAATCCTTTGGTTTCATTTTGGTTCTATAAAACTTTTCTTAAGGTATAAATATTATCTCAAAATTTATAATTTTAACATATATGTGTATGTATATATATATATATAAATATAAACTTTCAGTCATGATATTAATGGCCATATAGAGTATTAACTAATTGTAGAAGTAGACTTCATCTAGCTCCTTTATAAGATTTTTGGGTTTTAGTCTGAA